ATTTATGAATTGAAATAGATTGTGATGATTCATCTACTCTATTTTCATTTGTAGTATTTTATTTTTGGCCATTTGTGACTCACCCTGCTGCTCCTTCACCCCGAGGAAGAGAACCAGGCTGCAGAGGAAAAACAAAGCGCCCATGACCAGGGATGAGGTCAGGAAAGCCTTTTGCTGGGGGCAAGAAAACACATTAAACCTTTTTAAAAAAAAAAAAAAAGCATATTATGCCGTCTACAAATAAATATCCAGAGCCATACAAACACAAGTAAACAGTCCTCCCTGGTTTGTGTTATTCAGTTATGTAATCTTGTTGTTTGGGGTTACTTTGCCTTTAGATCACATCAAGTTATTCCACTATTGTTATAGAGTTTTTAACACTTAACACTCTGTTAGATGAAAAGATTGATGCCACTCAGGTTTGTGTTAGCTTAGCATAAAGAACGAAAACATGGAAACAGAGCCTCACTAATCAACATGCTACATCTTGTTTGATTAATCCTTTGAAAAACTGAAGCATTAGATATATGTTGAATGGATTGAAAGACAACAGGCCCCTTGGCACGGACATTTAAAAAAAAAAAAAAAAAAAAGTCTCAAACCAAACTGAGAAAAACAAAATAGTTTCTGCACCTCTTCGTGGTAGTTTTGTGTCTCTTTGTAGTCTGTACTTGTTTTGTCCCTCAGTGTGGTCGTTTAAATATTTTTGTAGTGATTTGCTTCTTTTTGTAGTTTTGTGTCTTTGTTTCTTGTAGTTTTCCAGCATGTCTTTGTGGTCAGTTTGTGTCTCTGTATAGTCTGTTGTCGTTTGACTTTCCAATAAAATATTAAGTCACTTCAATAGATTCTAGGTTTCTGATTTGAATGGTTGGCTAAGCTAATTGCTAAGCTAATCATTTCCTCACAGTGGCTTTAATTTTCTAACTTCAGTAAAAATAGTGTTTATATGACATAATCTTCCTGTATTAGTTTCTCATTTAAATTAACTAATGGTTTGTTTTTGCAAACACGTGTCTAATTCCATTAAATGTAATGTCCCTCCTCGACCTTGTCACATTGTGTAATAACTAACAAAACCAGCCTGAGAGCACACACAGACAAACACAACAATGTCTATGTCAGGCTACGTGCAGTAAATTACAGGGTAACAAGATATCCCTGGGACTATGCGAGTACAATGCCAAAGCAATGCTACTGGACTGCTGAAGAAATCCCAGTGTAACCTCAGCCAGAGTGACCACTTTGATTAACATTTCAAGTGCCATTTCTACCGTTTCCTGAAGGGATGCGGTTTGTGGTGGAGATGTGCTTTGAGATGTATCATGGGCCTGGCCCAGCTGTTGACAAGCCTCCTGCTTCTCTGTGTTGTACACAGCCACAACTTGACCCTGAATTACAGAAGCCAGCAGCATCGCCACCATCTCCACACTCATTCCTAGACAGAGATGCAGAGATTGTGATAAAGCAGAGGGAAATCCTGGTCAACATTTTGTTTGCCCTTGACCTGGGAATAAGGATAAGGTCCTCTTACTGTAGGCTGTGGCAGAGTCTCTGTCTCTCTGATCGCCCCCCAGGAACATGTTGAGTGAGAGGTAGGGGACGTTGTAGCACTGTTAATGGGCGACAGGGGAAAACATGACAACTACTGACAGCGCATGAGTGGTGTGAAACTGTCACCATGGTGACACAGCTTGGAGCAAAATGGCAGAATCAACTGACATGAAAACAGTATGAAACTATTACAATGAAAAACTATTACTATGAAACTAAGATGTTGCACAGATGGCAAAGAAATGTGTACCAGCAGTGGTGGAAGAAATACTCTAAGCCTTTAGTACCAATATGACAACGGAATAATATTCCCAAATGTTTTATATGATCATCAAAATGTACTTTAAGTATCAAAAATAAACACTGATGAATTATTCATTATGATGTTGATGCGTCAGTGAGTAAACAGCGTTTTACTGTTGGAGCTGCTCTAGGTGGAGCAGGTTTTAACTACATATATAGTTTGTGTTAAGTAGGAGGTTCAGAATTGATTCACTGTCACCATGGGCATCAGGTCAGGATGAAAGAACGAAGGCCATTAAACATATATCCAATCCAACAAAGGTTTATTCTCAATTATTTCAACATGAAAAAGGAAGACACGCACACATGGGCTGTGGGTTCTGAAAGGACAATAAAGAATAAAGATTGAATTTAACACAACAAATCAAAATAGTCTCATGATGTACTTAAAGAAATAAGGATAGAGAAGGTTCTCAGAGACTAACATACAAATTATAAGAACTAAAGCGAACAAACTTCTCTTACCAGAAACTGCCACCCCATGTGAAGGTGAAAAAGAGTGAATGAGTGGAGGGAGGCCCTTAAATAATCTCCTGGTGCCCAGGTGAACTCTATCAGGTAAATGAGGGGTGGAGTGAGAAATGAAAGGAAAAGAAGCGAGATAGTTGAAGAAAGGAAGAGGAAAATGAAAGAAAATTGGGATCTTTACTACAGTTTGGTAGTTTAGTCTGGTGGTTCCCAGCCAGGGGTCAGGCCCCCGCAAAGGGTCACAAGATAAATGTGAAAAGTTCTGATAAAAATCTGTTTTCAGTTTTTGGACTTTTCTATAATCTAAATGTAATGTAGTAAAAAGGACAATATTTCCATCTGAAGTGTAGTGGAAATATAAAATAACACAAAATGGAAATATTCAAATGAAGGAAATACCTCAAAACCGTACTTAATTACAGTATAAGTAAATATTTCACCACTGGGTACCAGATGGGGGACAGGAGGGAGGAGTGCCTGTAACACTTGCACTGACTTACACTCATGAGGGTCTCGAACAGGCAGGCCGCTGTGAGGAACCACAGCACGCTGAGAGGCTCAGACATTAAGCCTTGTGGTTCAAACCACAGCAGCAGATAGGACAGGACACCAAGCGGAGTGGAAAGAAGCAGCCTGTGAGATACACATTGATGGCTCTGTTGGAAACAGCACCCGAGGAAGAATCGGAACTTGATTCAAGATGAAGTGTGCGTTAAACACGTGGGCCCACCAACCAACCATGGAGTGAGTTTGCCGATGGGTGTCCTTTTACTGCGGCTCACCAGATATCCAACCAGAGGGTCAGTCACAGCATCCCAGGCCCGACTCACAAATAAAATCATGGAAACATAGGAGGCCTGCATCTGTGAAAATGTGTAATTCAGCTGTTAAAAGACAAGCTGACATACACCATTTTGTTGTACAGAGGTCAGTATAGTGGGAAGTACAGGTCAGTGGTCCTCTTTGCAAGCGTTAGGACAAATTAAACTTTTACCTGCACAACATCTAGGAGGAAAATCTGCAGGGAAATGCCTATAGATATTGCAGTAATCTGATATGGGACCCCACCCACAGCATAACACAGCTTCCTGGCCAGAGGAATCCCCCCCGACCCCTGTGAAAACCAGGGTGGAGAGAAGACAGGAGGGTGGAGGTTGTCCATAGTAACCACTGAAACATGAGTTCAAACATTTTGTGTATTCACAGCTTTTCTCCACTAACTTGATGCAGCATTACCAGATGTTTCTCTCTGGTTTTCACACAACTATCACATAGAAAGTGCAGGAACATTTAATATCAATAGACTGATGTTGTGATGCTCTGTGTTGACAAAGACAGTGAGGAGTGATTTGTTATGATCGTATTAAGGGTTTTGAGTTTTGTCATTTGCTATTTTTGAAAAAGAAACAGTTTTTGTGTTCGTGCTACCGACTCTAAAATGCACCAAAACAATTGAGAAAAACTGTAATATTAGGTATGACGAATCTGCGCTGAAAAGGTTCACATTCTTCTTCCTGTGTTTTGAATGTTTGCAACAGCAGAAAGAAAAAAGAGAAATAATCTTCATTTTGAAAACTTACCCCCAGATGCTGACCTTCTCTGTTTCTGCCCACGTTCTGTTTTAATACCCGACTCTTTAATAGCTGTAACTGATTTGTAAAATCCTGAAAACAACTCATTCTTGGAAGTTAGGGAGAATAACACCACTCCTCAGTTGCAATATTCCACCGCGTGTAGCAGACAACAATAGCTCCCTTCATGCATACACAGTTGTATTCAGGTTTTACCTTATCTGACAGTGGGATCTGGTTTAACAACTCTCATGCATTTGAAAGTGAGGTCCACCTCCTCATATTTAAGAGTGAAGGAAGCCACACGTCATTAGCTGGTGGCTCAACCACCAGTTTATGATGTATAGTTTATTTTCATCATTGTACTATATCTGTTAGATAGATAGATAGATAGATAGATAGATAGATAGATAGATAGATAGATAGATAGATAGATAGATAAGCAACATTTCAGTGGATCTTTAAGGATTTCACAGAGTCCACCATTAAAAGACACGATGCACTTTGACTTCAAAGTGAAAAGTTTTAATATTTTCTCAGTAGCAGTTCATTTACAGTTGTTCTGAAAATAGGAACATTTTTCAGTGACTTTTCTTTTTCAGAGAACAAAGTGTGTCAGCGTGGACTGCTCTGACCTCTTGTGGAACATCAGTGAAACTTCCCTCCATCAAATGGAGCTTGTTTGATCTTGTTCCTCTCTGACTTTCCCTTTCATGAAAACACTACAGGCCATCAGTTTCACATTATTACATATACAGCAATTACAATTTGAAAAAAATCATGCTCTAATCCTTCTGGGGAAATGATTCACTGTTTAACACTAAGCTGGCAAGTCAATGTATAATCAAATCACCTGCACTGATATTTCTGCAGGTGATAACGTCTACTTCTATTTCTGGAGTGATTTTTTTAAAAATACATTACAGAGAGGTCCAAACATTCATCTTTAATGAGTTCCATTTACAGCAAAGTGGGATTTGTTGACCTCAGGTGTCAGTTCAGTGGCCAGACAGCGACAATAACAAAGCTCCACTGAGACTCACAAAAAAAAAAAAAAAAAATTTCAAGAGTCAAAATACCAAAAAAATATTAACGAATATTTCATCATCAAATTTCTAATTTTATAAAGAAACAAACAAACAAAAACCCCAATCAAAACAACTCAGAGTGAATTACTTGGCAGAAAAATTGCATCCATCATTTCATGGGGGGATCATGGGGTCCCATCACTACATGTGTTTTGTTTTAAATCTTTTACACCATCCTATAAATTGGTGCTCTTGGTTGCATTGTCCTTGGCCTGACGGAGTCCATACAGCCATTTGATCACTCTTGCATTTCTCTCAATGACAGAAACACCGTAGGGGACTCGCTCTGCGACGTTGCCAGCATCCTCCTCCTCATCTTCTTCATCTTCTCTACCGGAGCCCGCACACTCAGACCCCGGAGCGCTCACACTGCGAAAACGGGCGAGGGAAACAATGTCAGAACTGGATCCAGTCAAATCCTGCAGGTCTGCAGGGTCCAAACCACACAGGTTGAAGAAGCGCTCCAGCTCTGTCCCAGCTCTGGAGTACCTGTCGCTCATGTCTGATTTAGACCGGGTCAGAGACGGGCGTTTCCTGGAGCTGGAGGAGGATAAACGGGTGATCGCTGGGGAGGGAGGAGGGAAAACAGGGAAGCTAGGGGGAGGTGGAGCAGGGACTGGGGATCCAGCTGGAGAGGAGGGAGGGTTGTCAGGTTTAAATGGGGCAACAACAGGTTTCAGAGGAGAAGAGGCTGGTGTTGTTCTGGGGTGGAAGAGACGCAGGTGCGAAGCAGCCGGGCGGAGTGGAAACTGGGAATGTAAAGGTATGGGCCGAAGGGGCTGCCGGATGAACTGAGGCCGTCTGCAGGTTGTCCTCACGGGGCTGGCCTGAGGCATGACGTCCACTCTGCGCACCGTCCCTGCAGCCAGAGACCCAGGAGAGCCTGGATTCTCTATAGGTCCAGAGGCTTTTAATCTCACCTTAGCAGGACTGGACCAGTCAGGACAGGGAGGCGGACACGGCCTCTCTTTTTTCTCTTGTGCCCCTACAGGTGTGGGGCGAGGAGAGCTGTGTGCAGTGGCGGCACAATCAGGATCTTTACTGTACTCTGAGCTTACAGTGGCACTGGACTGGGGTCCATCACTCACATTACTGATGAGATTACTCAGGTGCTCCAGGTCGAGCTGGACTCCCTCCTGCTTTGTTTTTGTCTGGGTCGGTGTCTTCCTGGTGGGCCGCAGGGCAGCAGCGGGGCTCAGCAGAGGCTTCCCCACTTCAGGAGGCCTTAGTGGCCGCTGCTTAGAAAGAGCCACCTGACTCTTGACATATTTAGCCTTGTCTGCCTCCAGCCTCTCCACTGCACTCTGCTTTGGTCTGCTCTCTGCTGTCGGGCATTGCCGATAGAGGTCTGGCCCCACTGGCCCCTTGGGCCGCAACCGTGGGGGTGTAGCAGTTTTAACGCTCCTCGCTGGTTGCTTCACTGGGCGTTGGAAAGTCTCCACAGGCATTTTATAAAACTAGCAGCTGTACCCGTCTTTGTCCACCTTCTGTTTTTTTTAAGCCACGTGCAGAAATTGTGATGTTATCCTTTATTCGTGCCTCTGTATAGCTGTCTCATGATCAGCTCCACTCCATTTTTGAAGAGATGTAACTGCAGCATCTCAGTTGAACTCTAGTTCCTTGACATTTGGACTCCCCCTGGAAAAGAGGCACGACAGTCAGGACAGAAGGAAGGAAAGACAACTCTATAAAGAACTCAACAGTCAATAAAAGCATTCACCTTACAAGACAAGTGAGAATCAGACACTTTTAGTACTCCAACACACAGAGGAGAGAGCCAACCTCACAAAGACCCTACTCTCATAAACCCTCCCTTTTCTTTGCGACTGCAGCCAATCATTCTCTTAAGGCCTTTTCCATCCTACAAGTTCATTGGCCGCCGGCACAGACGGATTCAAACAATTACTCTCAGTCATCCATCTCTCCGCAGACAAACACACAATAAAAGTGACACTTCATTTTCAGTCAGTCGAAGGCCTGTGAAAAGAGTGGCAGAGTTGCGTGTGTGTGTGTGTGTGAGAGGGGTGATGGGGAAGCTGTCCAGCTGTCAACAAGCTATTGTCTGGAGGCAATACAGAGCAGATCACACACACACCAACAGCTGCTATGGGAACAATGACTCCTCATCTTTAAATAAAGCAGCCAGTTGCCTGGGTTTGTGGCCGACTTCTTCCTGAACTACAAGCCTCCGTAGGTTTAGTGAAGTCAAAAACAAAGGAGGTTCAACTCAGCATCTGTTAACCTATCACAGTTTGTGTAAAGCTCTAAGCCTCAAACTGTGGTGAAGGTCACAAGAATGAACTTGGTAAATACAGGCACTTTTTCTGAATATCTGTGTATACTTAATATCCTGAGTGTACGCCGCTTGAACAGTCTGCATCTGCCAGTCACATTCTCCACATATTTGCCATTCCAGTCTGAGCCGGGCAAAACTCCTGCTGATAGAGCTGTGAAACTCTCTGGATCTCCCCTCTGACCCTCACCTGCCTCGAGGTCCTCGGATCTCTTCAGTTTACAAAAAAAAAATCAAAAAAACAAAGCAAGCTCCCCTCACCAGTAAAGACAACCAGCACTGGGATGTATATCATTAAGATGTTGGTGTGTTACAAACCAAAGAGGAATGTCAAGAGGTCGGCCACACAAACAAAAATAGAGCCACTAATTACTGTATGTGTGTCTGAGTCAAGAGCCAGCACGTTCAGCTACTGAGAGTAAATGACAAAGATGAAGCCAAAGGCAAATGACACAGCAACACAAAAGGCAGGTAAACAAAGAAGTCCCTCATGTAAGGCTCTGTAGACTCAAGGCCTGCGCACTGGTCTTGCCCTGACAAGCCCAACTCTGCTTTTATGAAGGTGTAGGTTAGTTGTCGACCAGTTTTTTTTTTTTTGTTGTTTGGTATTTCTACAGAAAAACTCACCTCCTGTTGAGCTCCTGAGCCTCTCCTGGGTTTCTTGGTGTAGCCCAGCAAACACACTGCGCTGTCCTACAGAGAATGTGTGTGTGAATGTGTTTGAAACCACTTAGCAGCACAAGACAAACCTGTTTGACAACTCATGTGTGCGGCTCCTGAGCCCGCCCCCTTTTTACTCATTGGTCCATTTACTCTCCTACCAGGAAACACACTGACTTCTTTGGCCACATGACCCTGCTATTGTTTTAGATAGATGATAAGCACTTTCTGTTTGCTCATATCCAAGTATTGAGATCCTTTAAGTAAAAGTACTCATACCAGAAATACTGCATTACAAGTCCTGCACTGAAGATGTTATTTAAGTAACAGAAGTATTATCAGGAAAATGGACTTCAAGTATCAAAACCAAAAGTACTCAATGCAGAGTGGTATACTATTATATATATCATTACTCATATGCTAATGTGTAATTTTCTTTTATTTCTTTGATCTGTCTAGGACTACAACTAATAATAATTTTCTTGATTAGTTGTTTGGTTTGTTCAAATTTGCTGGAACGTGAAATATTTGGCATTTTTACATGAGAAATTACTTAAATGAGATGATCAAATTAATCTCATGTCAATGAAGAATTGTACTAATCAACCAGTTAGCCTGTGCATATTCTCATTTGTCCAGGTCATGGTATCCTAAAGGAGTTTTAAATCAAAACGCAACTGGACTTGATTATTTGTCTGGGAAGACGTTTCACTGGCAGACAGACCAGTCCCAGCCTGGTCAGATGCGTACACGAACTGATGAAGCCTCTTGGATGAGAGGTGAAACGTCTTCCCAGACAAATAATCAAGTCCAGTTGCGTTTTGATTTAAAACTCCTTTAGGATAATCAACCAGTTGTTTCAGCTCTGCTTGTATACAATGTCTATATTTTATAAGCATAAATTCTGCATGCAAAATCTTAATTTGTAAAGTGATTAAAGGTGTCAAACAGTGCAGTAAAAAGTAGAATATGTTCTGTTTATTTTTGTTTAATAATAATAATAATTTGAATTGTTGCGAGGTAGAGTATAAAGTAGCATGAGAAGAAAACACTCAAGTAGAGTACTCACTGTAGTCGACTAAATGTTACATTCAGCTGCTACTGGCATCATAATTAATCTACACTACATGTTGACACAGTTTTTGCTGCTCAAAGGTCTGTGTTGAGTATATATGTAAAATGAAAAAAGTTCTCATTTAGACCAACAATTTAGACAAATTTAATGTCACCATGAAGTTGTCTCACAATCAAACAAACTGACATTTGCATCTCTTTCTTTACCTAGAATAAAACAAGAAGGAACAGTGACCTACACCAAGTACAGTATATAAAAATAAATGACTTTTAAGCCATACATGATTAAAGACTTGACAAATAGGTAGAGACTTTTGATTCTGATAGTATAAAACTACCACAGTTTGCTGAAGTAATCAAACTCCATCACATACTATTTGGCCGTTTAGTATTTTTAACTGTAATATATTACAACCATATAAAATTGCACAAAAGAGCACAGGACATGGTTACAGCAGAGTTAAAATAAGATATACTTAATGTTCTTTTTTACAAACAATGATGGAGGAATGTGCTGTCAGCTCCTGGTGCAACTGGAGGTTTGCATATGTAAATGATGGTAATGATGAAAAGCAGTGATGATAAACTGCAGTTTAATGTCACTGCAGGGTCACAACAGTTCAAGCTAACTGCAACACAGGTCTGAGTTTTCTCTTGGATATTCAAATACAATCCAGGCATAATTATAACCAATAATCATTCAACATCAATCACTACTCACATGATTCACACACTGTGTACATCATTTTCTTTAATGTCACATCTCAAAGTTGAACAGTGAGAAGTCAATACCATAAAGCTGGGGTAGTGGATTTTCTGAGGTTTATTTTGCTTCCCTTTGCTAAGTATGAACAGTGGCTGTGGATCACATTGTGTGTTGGATCTAACAACACGTCACTATCATAAAACTTGAGCACCAGAATAAAGAAGGGCCATTAGTTCTTCTTGTTGGGGGTTAGGAAACAGCACAGTTTTTATCTTTGTCCTTTGCACCAAGACTGTGAGCTCTGCTCCGCCTCATGCTGCCTCTCAGCCCCCAGTCTCTCTGCACCTCCCTCTCCTTCTCTCCCTCCCTGTCTTTACCCTCCTCAGGCTGCTGTTTTCTGAGCTGTGGGGGCAGAGGTATTGGCTGTCCAAGGAAGTAGCCTTCCTCCTCAGAGTCTGAGGACGAGGAACATGTAGAACAGTCTTCGTGTTTGTAGTGACCCGGCTGGAGGGTCAGTGAGGAGGCGCTGGAGGAGCCCCGGCTGTCCCTTTCTTTCTCGCCTCTCCATTCCAGGGTGTCCAGACGGGGTCGGTCAGGCCGCGAGTGTCTGTATCGCCTCTCTGCGCCCGGATGGAGAGACGGGTCAGAGGGGATACGGCAGCGACCCCACCCTCGCCTCAGACTCCGCTGATGGTAAGAGGATCCGTCTGGTTGAAAAAGAAGTGCGACAAAAAACTAAATTAACTTGATTTCCAAATTTAAAATGAGTAAATATTTAACTCTCTGAAGGCCGTACTCACCCAGTAGATCCATCTGCGGTGGGATTCCTTTCTGTAGATTTAACCTGCTTCCGAAACCTCCCTCCACCTCATCTTCGGCCTGCTGGTTTTCCTCACCCTCTTGCAGCTTCTCTTCATTCTCTTCTTCATCCTCATCCTCATCCTCATCAACAGAGTAGCTGCTGCTGATTGGTTCTCTGAAGCTGACTCTAGCTGTGCCACTGCGAGTCAGTGGAGGCGGAGAATCTGAGGGTCTGTCCTCTAGCTGGGGGGGGTTTGGTGGGGGTGACTCCCGGGGTATCAAGTCACGAGTCTTGACGGGCAGAGGAGGAGGGAGGATGGATGGGTTATTGGGAGAGAGGTGAGATGAGTCAGGTGAAACCAGGTGTGTCACGTGTGAGTTTTTCTGGGGAGGAAACACTGAGGACAAAAACATCAGAGGACACATATAGTTAGTAATTATAAATATTCAGAACTTAAAGTGTGTGAAGTAGCAGTGCCTTATGATACCTTGCAGAACCTGATTCGTCCTTTCCACCCAGTTCCTACAGTCTTTAGCAGTCGAGGTTCCTCTTGAATTAACACCAGTTAGTCCAGTATTTTCATTTAGCTCTCCCTTGAACTGAAGACCACTGACTGCAGGTTTGATCCCACAGTCCCCTGGCAATAAACTGTAATGTGGAACGTCACTGGGCCAAGATGGACCTAAGCCATTTCCTAGATGAATGTGAGGAAGAGGTGAATAGGAGCCTCTTGAATGAGGATGACCGCTGGGTGCAGGAGCTCCGTTTTGAACTGGAGCAGTGCAGTGGACGCCTGAGAGAAGCAGAGCAAATAAATGTGTTGTTAGAGCAAAGGGAAAATAAAAGTTTATTGTAGTTCACTTGGTATTTTTTGGTTCATTGCTCAACATATATAACATCTGAGTATCACACCCATGTACCACATTCACCTTTGTTTTCCACTGCAGTATGAATGCAGTCTTTTGCAGTTATAGTGATGCCCTCTAGTGGCTTCAGTGGAGAACCACACTGTTGCTGCTGCTGTTTCTCTGCTGTCCCGCAGCGTTTATTATGCTGAGGTGGTCTGCTCTGCAGTGCTGAGTCACAGGAGTCTGAGTTATTGGGATCTTCGCCCAGCGAGCAGGGCCTGGAGCAGAAGATGAGCCCCCCTCGAGGGAGGAAGGGACGCCCCAGCAGAGGCAGTTGACAGCGGGCGCAGCAGAAACATGACTCCACGGCGTGCCAGTGCTGACCCTCGTATGTCATCTGGCCCTGGTCGATACCTGACAGGACATGATTTTGTGATTACACATATCATTTGTGTCAGCTGCAGAATCGGAAAATCTATCTCTGTTATCTCAGTGTGGGTGTACACTCAGTATTTCTTCAATATGATGATCTCATCTGTATTTAAACTCTGTGACTAATTTAAATTAGAGTATGAGCAACTCATTAATTCTAAGAACAATATTGCTGAGAGAAATAATATTTATCTGTGATATTCAATCCCTTTTCAGACATGGAATACTTAACATTGCAGGCTTCTTACAATGAATTACCTCATTAATGTTTTCATTAATTTTCAGAATTTCTCTGCCTATAAGACAAGAAGTTATGTTTGGACTCTCGTCTGTTCACATGCTGCATATGAAGTGCTTTGCTGGTTATTCATAATCTCATGTAGGCAGCGTGCATGAATGAAAATTTTACAAACAAATCAAATATTAATGTGTTATTGTTAGAGGGTTTTATTTAGCCTCTAACACATGCATTTTATTTCTCCCTGTGTGTTTGACCTTCGAACCTTTACAGTAATCTGACAGCATTCTGTTCAGACATGTGCCGTGTTGGAAGTTTCACAGAAATGTTACAGGCAACTCACTTCATCCAACCTAATAAGATTACTGTCATGACTTTTTATTTAAAAGTGAGTCAGGCACTTAATCAGGCAAGAGACCAACATGTTAAATTGCCATCCAATTTATGTAACGAGTTGCATGTCTGAAAGAGGCCCTATTTACATTCATCACTTACTACTGATTAAAATGAAATATCATGTGGTTTCTTAAGAGGAAATGGTAACACTCTAAGTCCCCCTATTTAGCCTTTATAAGCAGTATACAAACTCTTATTAAATGGTTTACAACAGACCATACTGTAGCTGAAAGCAGATCTTAGTGTTTATTAATGTATTTGTCAAAACTACACACTGGTGTATAAATAGATAATCAATGACAATATAGTAAAACCTTATTGTAAAAATATATGTCCTCATCTGAGAAGTTACAACTGTAGACAAATTTTACATTAATAAACAATAATAAATATATAAATTAAAATAAAAATATATATAAATATTACTTACACTTAAAATGTCCTTATATCTGCTTACATCTAGATTAAAGTGTGTTACAAACCATTTATTAAATGTTTGCATACTCTTTATAAATGCTAAATAGAGATTGAGATTGAGAATGGCTGCAAGCTGTGTTGAAAGGCCCATCAATTCGTGTCTTAAGACTTAATTCAGTACCTATGTGTTCTCCGCAGGTATCGCAGTACTCTGCATACAGGGACTCGTAGCAGGAGCAGCAGTACGGTCGACTCTCTCTCATGATGTAACGCTGACCGCCTAGCGCAGCCTCACACTCAAAACAACAGAAGTGCTTCATGTGCCAGTATCTTCCTTCTGCCTCTGTACATTCATCTGCTAGAATAATCTAAGATTAAGAGACAACAGTGAAAGACAGACAGAGACAGAGAGGTCAGTCAGCACAGCACAGATGATTTCATGGGTACAGAAATAAACACATTCCAGTTGTAAAAATACTGCGAAATACTGAGGATTTGGGTTAACAAGACAGAAAAAAAAAAGATGCCAACGTTGCCCTCCTGTTGCAGGCTTAGCCATCCTCTGGGTCTAAAGAACTCTTGGTCAGTTGTGCCAGATCCATTAGTCAGATAAATCAACTAATCTCTTAAGTCACAGTGAGAGGCCATTCAAAACAAGAAGAGTCTGAGAGAAAAGCTTCAACTAACCCTCTACTGTGCACCAACCAAACGAAATGATGAAATACACCAATAGTAAAGCACCTGACAGGGCCTGATGATTAATTCGGGGATAAATTACAGGATCTTTCTTCACAGATTAGCTTGAACAAAAACATTCTCTCTCCTCTTACACAAGTGACTCACAGCGGTTCTCGCTTTTTTTTTTTTTTTTAAATGTTGCAGTTCACAGTAGAGAGACAGAAGGGAAGCCAGGGGGCAAAAGTATGGGCAAAATGAAGCTAAGTATGCCTCTCACACCAGTTTTTTGCTTTGTGACTCGCACTACACTTTGCTTTAAGAGACCTAATGTTAATGAGAGTTTATCAGACAGGTTGGGGATCTTGGTGACAGTCACCTCGTCGCAGGCTTGGCAGCGGGGCTTGAGCCTTTCAGCGTGGTGCCGGCCGCAGTAGATCTGCCCATCCTGGTAGAAGTAGATCAGATCAACCAGCAGCTCACTGCAGGAGGCACACTGGAAACACTGAGGGTGCCAACAGCTGCCGTGTCCGGCCCGACTGGCAAACACCGCTATGTCTCCACCGCAGATCTGTCTGCCACACTGGAAAAATAGATTTGGTTGGGTGGGTGAGGGTGTGGCTCAGAGGGAAAGAAGTTAGATCCTTTAACAAATGGTGAACGTTCAAGGTCGCAGTACAGCTTGCCCTGTAATCATTAAATCCCAGTGTGCTGTGTCCCTTAAGCTATGCCTGCACCTACTTGCACCTGAACTTGCTCCAGTCTTATAAAAAGAAATTCTTCTTCTGCCTGCCTCTGATGTATTTTAAGAGGCATTCACATTCAAGCATTAATGTTACATAAGGATCCTGTTGTTTTGACCTGTCTCATGAGGAAATCTATTATAAATAATCATAAAATAAAAATGCTGCTTTACCTGCTGGCATATGGCTCCCATCATAGTTACTGGGAAGAGTCTGACAACGCCTCTGCCCAAGTTTTCTCTTTTCCTCTGCTGACTGAACAGACGCAACTCCTTCTTCTCCTCCTCGTCCAAAGAGTTACAGTACTGTGGCTGCAAGAAACACAGAGAAATTCATGGTGACAAGTGCATTCGAAAATGATTTCTGAACTTTGTTTGGTTCAGTAAAATGGATTATATCTGATGATAATTTGGAACAGGTATGTTGTTTACAGGATAAACCTCGACAGATGCATCATCTAATTTACAGGATGGTCCTGACATTTTACCAACTATTAGGGCTGCATACAAAAAACATACACAGAAACAACACGATGAAGTAGAAAAAACATACAAACAATAACACTACATATTAATTCAGAATTGCGAAAGCGAAACTGTCTGTGAACCATGAGACAAAACTGATCCAAGTCTTAATAAATACAATGACATATATGGCTTCAAATGAACTAGGGAGAAGCATTATGCAAATGAAGCATGAAGCAAATTAATATAAACCTATGAAATTTTAAAGACGGCAAATTAAGCCTCATATGTATCACAATGATCGGTATAAAAATGGATATTTCAAAATAAATTTTAAATACTGCAAATAATATATGAAAGGTAAAAGACAGGAGAGCATAACCCAAAATAGGTAGAAACAATTGTAAGACATATGAAGTTTTTGTATGAAGTTTGTTCCTGTCATAAAAAAAACAAAGCTCAGAATCAATAATAATGAGAAGGTTTGCTGTATCGTGATTTAGTAAGCCTACTAGATGGAGGGATTGTATGTATTTGGCATGTTACAACACTGTTACAGTGCACCAGGAGTGATGCCAAAGACTAGAAAATCTGAAGTCACAGAGATGTTACCTCACTGTCGTGGGCTGGCAGCTGGTGCAGCAGTTGTTTGATTCGGTATCTCTCCCCCGGACTGTTCACATAAGGCACCCTGTCCTCTGGTAAGCAGCTAAAATACTGGTACACCTGTATGAAGAGACAAGTGTGTTCACATAAAGGCATAAATGACAGAATAAAGACAGCAATTTATTCAATTACAGAGCAATTTATTCAACGACCATGCAATTTTTTCAATTGCTGTCATAAATCAAAAAACTGAATATTTTTTCCCCATCATTATCAAATTGTTTGAGTGTCTGTATGGACATGTCTAAGTGAAAGCATGCATTGTGCGTTCTTATGTTGCATTAATTTATGTCTTGACTCTGTGTCTGCTCTGCACCCTGGCTGTTACCTGTTCGGGCTTGAGCCCAGGTGGGACCCATGCGTATTCCTCAGAGGCGCAGCCCGAGTCGTCGTCGGAGATGGAGTGTCTCTGGAAGTCTGATACCAGCTTCGTCATCATCTTTTCCAGCTGGCCCGGCACAGAGCGCACGGCATGCTCCTCTCGCACACACTTGCAGTGCACACAGATTTTCCTGTGGAGACATGGACAGCGTTGGGCTTCACCCCTGGGGACTTTTTTTTTTTGGACTGATTTACAGCACAAGCTACAACTGATCAAATGTCAAATCTTTCAATGAATACAGTATGACAGGTGGGTTCTCCTGGTGTGTCCGGTACTAAGGTGCAAAACATAGTGTTAATCTTTGAACATGACTCATCCCCTCTTTTCCTCTGCTATATGGCGTATATTAACACCACAATCACACGAGCACCCCTACAGTTTAACTATACTATTTATGCACACTTTGCGTTGGAGACGACACGTCTCAAACGAGCACACACACATTCTTGATGTTGACTCAACTAGACTTCCTGCTGTCAACAATTACTAATACAACAGTTGTCACAACAAAGAAACACAATCTCCAGATCGCTTAAAACAATCTCAGATGCATTCATGCCCTCATTACACCAACATCTCACTAGATCTGCATCAGGACCAGCACATCCCAAACATTTTCTACCAAACAAGCAGGAAATGAGGTCACTGATATAAGCCTGGCTGCCAATCCCACGGCGGTTAAGAGAGGGAGGTGAAGATGGGAGCAATAATCTCCCTCAGCCTCGTATTACAACCCATCTTGTCCTCTGTCTCCTCGCCACATTCAATCTGCCGGTGGGCGTGCCTACGTGTGGGACCGGTGGAGTCAGAATAAAGTGCCCCCGGGGTGACAGTGAGGTGTGGGTGTCACGTATTTGAATGGATGTGACACTATGGCCATATGCAGTGTGCATTGCATGTGTACATCTCTGTTGTGATTGCATAACAGCCTGCCAGCTGGCACTTGTGGCTCAAGTTCACAAGGCACAAAGCTGCTTTATTCCAGCACCCAACCCCCACACAACCAAAAAGCTAGCAGACAAACACACACAACTGCTCGTAAACTGCATGAAAGCTCCTCTTTTAATCGATAGTCTCCTAAAGTCTTTGAAATGTTAGTGACAGCGGGTAATAACTGCGTGTCATGTGAATGTGCTCTTCTCTCTTTACTCAACACAAGTTAATTGTCAATGAGTTGACAAAACAGAGAAAAGAAATGATACTATGTGATCCCAATATCCCTTCTCAGGCCCAGGACAATAAATCCTTGTAATATGTAAGCTGTCCCAGGTTGGCACCTTGTAAAGCCATGGTCGTCAAGCAGGTTGAACCAATATAAATAATAGTAAACACTGCAACTCAGCTAAGCCTAAACCATGTTGGCACAAATCTGGTCCCAGCTGTATTTGTGTGTGTGTGCGTGCCTTTGAAAGTGTGTGCCTGTGTTAACAAAAAAAAAAAAAAAAAAAAAAGGGGGGGGGGGGGGGGGGGCCTCCACGTACATTCCTATGTAAGTGGGTAGGAGAACACAGTCGGAGACCTGGCATGATGGGACAGATGGCAGATGCACCACGCCTCACCCAGTCTCTAACCCCACCAGTACCACCCCCACCAGCCTCCACATGATAAAAGCGTCTGTAACAAGGATATAATCACCAGCGGGTGCCAACCCTCACAGCACCCTACAGTAATTGAGAGATGACAAAGTGCCAGTTTGGATGGATTTGGGATATGAAAGTATGTAGGAGAGGCTCAAATCATGTCTCTTTTTGTGCTGATTGTTTCTCAGACATCTTGACATTAAAGCCGAGTTCAAACAAAGCCTGGTGGTTTGTGTACATGCCAAAACATTTAAATATACTTATGCTGCATAAATATAAACCAAAGGGACTCACTACATGAACAAGAGACAAATTGCTGGACACACAAGTGAGCAAATCAGCAACTGCAAGCAGCATCCCTATATTAGAGTGTACTATATGGTTTTTAATATGCAGGGGAATCTCTTTTGCTAGTAGGTGGTAATTTAATCATGACTTCACTAAACTTAAAAGCAGTACATTTCTGAAGGGTATTCACACTGCAATTTACTGCTTAGCTGAGCCCTGTACTGTTCAATTACTGGAGCCATAAGCCTCTGATGTAATACCACAAGGCTTTGTCCCCCCAGGACACTGACCACATTTGGTACTAATAAGTTGAAAAAATTATTATTCAAGTTCAAAATTTGATAAAAATATTCAATCAAGTCATCAAATGACTTCAAGCTGTAATGGCAGCTGCCAATTGGGTTTATAATTTTGTAAATGGTAAAATCTAACAATCACCAAACTGCTGATTAGTCAAATAATAAACTTAACTATTAATTAAGTATAGTCATTAGTTGCAGGCCTTGTCAAAATCAGACCAGGAGTGTGCGAGATATTGCTTGTGAGGAAACACATCAACTTGTAGTTCCCACGTCACTATGGGAAAATATCCATGAGTCTGAGTGAAGGGGTGAAAATAAAAGTGCACGGACAAATGTAATTAATTAAGGAATATTAGATTTCTCTACAACATCTGTGTATATCCGACCTGTGCTGTCTACAAAATTAAAAAACAAGAAATACAAGGTAATTGTACTACACTGAATCCATAACCAGCCATATGTGTTATTAACCAAGAGACACAGCAGATGCTGCTTTGGACAGGAATCCACAATCTGCTGCTAAATTTGCTTTGTGGGACCAAAACATTGTTACTGAGACTGCTGGTACAGCTGCTGCTGCTGCTACTGTTGTTCATGATGTATCTTTTGTTTGTTTGCTGGCTATAGATAGTAGGGATTATTTTCTTTATTTTATTTTATTACTAATGATTATTTTCAATATAGATTTATCAGCAGTCTTTGCAATGTTTAAAAATAGTGAGGAAATGACTGTCACAGTTTCTTAAAGCGCATGGTAATGTCTTCAATTTGCTAACACTTTCAATTTACTGTCTTTGTCATACATGAAACATCATCACAATAGAGAAGCTGGAACAAGAGAATGTTTCATATTTTTGCTTGAAAAATCACTGATATGATTAATTGATTATCAAAATGGTTGCCCATTAAATTTCTGTCCAATGACTAATTGATTACCTCTAATAAATGGAACAATAATAAGTTAAATAATTACAACAAAATAATAATGAATTAAACTTTAGATAATAAAGTAGGGTGATAGAGGACATAAAGGGTAGGAAAGTATTTGTCTATGTGAGTACTGCTCTGTCATGCTGATGGAGTACATTTTCACAGTAAATACTGACACTATATGGAACTGAAATAAACTCATTTGAACTTGTGGAAATCCAACAGCTTTAATTAGCTTTAGCTGTGGGGATTTGAAATCATTTTAATTTTGTTTAACGCAAAGATTAAGGCTTGTTCGCCCCTCCCTGATTCCCAAACTGACCTGAGTTTGGCCAGTAATACATTAGCCTTTACTTTCAGATTTTTTTTTTTCTGAATCTTTAAATAAAATAACATCTCCACAAATATACCATACAGTTTTTCTTGTAAAGATGCATTATAGGCAGCAAACTGTGTGAAAGGGAGGTGAGTAGCAACACTACCTGCACATGACGTCATGCTCTGCACCTGAAGTCCATACAGATATGTGTGCAAAGCAACATGAAGTCAGACAATCACACAAAAGAAGAATTATCTTCTAAACACACACAACAAAACCTATAGTTTACTTGCACTCCCAACTTAATGACTGTTTGTGTTTCTAGCCCCTCTAATCCTATTAGACAGTAAAATATGATGTCTTCATTACCTGCTGTAATCATGACAAATTAGCCCAGGTTGGCCCGTTGAAGTTGTCCCATCCAGACTTATCTTCCACTGAAACTATAAAGGTTTGCATCCAATAGGCGCCCACTGCTGCCTGCCTGTCAGCCTGTCTGTTAGTAAGAGCAGGATATTCTATGGCAGCTCTTTTCCATGTGGTAATTTCTTGGTCTGAGCGGCTCTTTTCAATGTCGCTGCCACCCCCATCTCCCACCCTCCTCCGTGCTGATAGTGGGCTCAAACAAAAGGCGTCACTGAACACAACCATACACAATATACAAACACAGCTCTCAAGGTACACACATGCTCATGTAATTCTTAAATAAGATAAGCTAAAGTACACACACAGTGGACATTTATTTTACCCATTTCAATTACGCCCGACAATTTACTCACTCTGCCTTTGAAGATATGAAACATCAGAGTCCAAGCGACAATCATGAAGAGTAAACTCGCAGTGTCTTTTCTCCTCTGGCCAGACTGCTCTGACTGATTCATAACAGATGGACGATTGTTGCTTTGATGCAGTTATTAATCATAGAAATAAGTGGAGCAGATTTTGAGCCTGTGAGCAATGCTGTGCTGTGAAGGATTTGTCATATTATGTGATCAAGATGGCCATGCATGACAACAAAGTGTCTCTGGTGAAATATCAAGCAGACAGCATGACTTTCAGTCTTACTGAAGTCACGACACATCTCTGAAATCATTCTAGCTCATCTGACTTCGGTGAGTCACTGAGGATGAATGTCAGTATGTGTCTGCTGGAGACGAGGCAGTATGCTTCGATCCTTCATTATTCACGTATCTTTCTTTTATTAATATTTCTTTTTTTTCCAAGTTGCTTTATCCAACTGCAGGATCAGAGCAAGTAATGCTACTTTGTTGCGATAGCCACATTTTAGAGCTGCAATAAATAATTAATTTATCCATTAGTCAATCGACGAAAAAATAAAAAGCCACTTTTTTTATATAGTTTCAGATCTGTTTGTTTTGAAATGTTGGCCAGATAAAACAAGTAATCTCAATTTCACCTTCACTTTTTTCATTGTTCTCTTTCACATTTTACTGACAAGACGATAATCAGCAGATTAATTGATAAAAAAACTATTTTTAGTTACCTAACAATAGCCCTACCGCAATGCAATTCTTAGACAGCTAACTTTCAAACAAACAGAGTTTGTGTAGCAAGTGTAGCAGCCATAAAATAGTCCTCTGCATTAAATGTGTGCCGCTGGTGTGATAATCTATAACTGAAGCTGACTTCAGTGGGGTATAGTGAACCCTCTTTAGATCTGGTTCTAAGAAACAGATGGGCCTTGTCCTATAACTCTCTGCCACTAATTAGTGACTGAGTAATTGCCACATGGCCACCCAGACTAATAGTGATGGCGACTTTGAACACTTTTGAAGCGTGGCGGGGACCTGTGGGTCAGAAGTAACTCAATTCACTCGCTGCTGGGCAGCGGAAGCACCATCTGCCCCCCACCTCAGTTTAAGCTCTGTCTGAGAAAGCTCAGGATGAAGATGGATCACTTCCCTCTCAGCGAGCATCAGCAGCTGAGCCTGTGGTCACTTGGCTGATTTTCTCCATCATGGAAGGTGTGACTCTAAATTGGTTATTAAGGAAGATGCAATTAGCACCAGACTCTGGGGTCTTAAGAACTGACCCCCATAAATCTCAATCATTTAATCACGTTCATGTTCTTCATTCTCCTGCATCAGCTAAGACTTGAAATGTCTTGACAAGACATTTCCCTTTGTCACCTCACCTAAAAGTCATTTCTGATTTGTCCTTCAGCCAAACACATAACTGAGCAGCTTCAATACTAAGCTTCAATGTTAATACTACACTGATTAAACATACTGTATACAGATCGATGTGTACAGGGGCCACACTTGCACCAAAGTGTGGCTGTAGGTAAAGCACCGCGCACATGTTTTAGATTACATCCTAACTTCTACGCTTTTGTCTTGACTTGAATAGAAGGAACAGAACTGAACAAGCTAAAAGATACAATTACAGTCTTTTGGTTACATGAAGTACGCATTCCTGTGCCTGTTGTTTTATTCTCTCCACCACCAAGCCACGGCTGCCCTCAGCCATGCCCATCTGGAATTGTGAATAGGGAATAAATTTCCTCCTTTCTTCATTCATTTAGCTGTGTGGTAAACCTGGTGATTGTTCTCTAGAGCCTTAAAGTCTGGAACGTCAAAACACAACACAGTGTATCATACAGCTTCCTTCTATGTGATCGACTCTTCACTTCCTCTACATTCATATCTAATCAGGTGTAATTTTCTATACTTTAGTGTTGCATAACACTTTGACATAACAATGTCTAGAACTAAAACTTCCATTTTCTGTTATTTTCTACACTAAACCTTAATGAAATACGACAGTCACATCTGAAAAACAAAAGCCGCAGTGAAATGGAGAAAGGGGGAGACAGCGAGGCAAACTGAGGGAGGTATGAAGTGGTCCAGAGGGTTACTATCACAGCAGTAAAGCCTAATCTTATTAACGTGATTGACAGGATTAGACTAACCAAGAGACCCAACCAGCTGGATATACACTAAAGGAATAGAAAAGACAGAGAAAAGAAAAGGGGGCTCAAATAAAAGCCTGTGAGAACTGAGAACCCGCTTAAGAGAAGAAAATAAATTGTTGTTCAGGAGGTCCTTTGATAATGGTTAACAACTCCTGAACAAATAGGTGTAAGAGGTACATAGGCTGACATTTCAAGTGGCTTGTGCCAGAGTTTAAAAAGCAGGAATTACAGGAATTGAAAGCCCCTTTGTTGCAAAGACTCCTGCAGTTACAAAAACTCTCTAAACACTCAAAAACACAATACAGACATCGTACGAAACACTTATCTTTCTGCTGAGTAGCAAATCTCATTTGATTTGTACAAAAGAAAATGAACTGTAATATCAAGCGCACAATGCTTTTCACCTTAAAAGTCCCTCATGACCACAGACCATATGGTCCTGTTTTTGGTATAATAAATGACAAATGCTACAATGACTTAGGTCTTAGTTTAAATCGCTGGAGCTCAGACATACAGCAACATGTTGCAGGGTAACTATTGGTAATCCTGCTGCCCTGTTGTGCTTCTGTTGTCCCATGAAGATGATGTCAACTCAAACTAAATGCAGCTGCTGCTGTTGTGGATGTCAGGGCTTAATGGCACTCATGACTCTATAGCCCTGATTCTTTACCACCACGGAGTCAGTAGGATTGATCGGCTCCCTGAATATCATGTGGTGCCCTGACTGGGTCATGTTTGTTGTCTTTTAATGTATATCTGCACTCATCGTGTACACAGATCACAGTTAAGCTGATTTTCTTTGGTAGTAAAGTTGCTGTCCTTCCTAAGAGATGTGCAAATACACACAGACACACAGTTTAACTCCTGAACTACCAATGCCTACATATGCTGACTTCACTTTTAAGTACCCAGAAATCTAGTGAATAAATCAGAAACAAATTTAGTCCTTGCTGATAGCCACACACTCTATCAGTCAGCATGATAGATTGACTGGCAGTCTGCTCCACTTTCTCCCAACAAAGCTGAGACATCTTTGGTAGAATTTACCTCCTGTTTGTCTGCTGCCTAGACGTTAACTGGCCCCATGTTATCAGAAACACACTAAATGCAATAGCTGGTTTTTAAAAGAAAATTAAAACTCAACCAAGAGAATCTGTTTTTGTGAGTCTACACATTGCAATTGGTTATCTGTACACACAGCAGGAGTTCCTGTACACAAAATGCTGTTAAAATAATCACAGTTTTCTTTTTCTGTGAAATACTTTTTTGAAGTTAAACTGGCAGGTACTTTTGCGAATTACCCAGCCTCAGAAAAGCTGATATCAGACAATGGTTTTAAGCAGCTAATTCTTAACAATGGTTGCACAGAATCCAAAAAGCAGCAGGAGAGACTGAGACTGTACCAAAGGTGAAAACAGAGTACAAGAAAAACATTTCCTGCAAAGGTAACAGGCAGTGCTGGTAATGTTTAAGAGTCCTACAGTTCATACCTCCAGCCATGGACACGGAAGCCGGGGCACTGGTCTCCACAGCGCATACAGGGCTGGCCTCTGTCTGGGTCCTCTTCCTCCTGCTGAAAACAAAACACAAACTCACTTCAGCCCAAATCATGGAGTACAATGGAGTATCATATCCTTTGACACAAGACCATCAAGTTAAAAGATATAGTTAACACATACAGTGATTGCTACACATGGTCGTAGAAACATCAACATCATACTGAGTGGGTGAGTGTTGTTTCCACTTAAGCCACAAGCAGAATGCACTTAGAGACAATCGCTTCAGCCTTTAGTTTAGCGGCATTTGGGGTGGATTATGGGTTGTCTATATATGACTTAATGACGTCATGTGTAGAGTCACTTTATGAATATCCCTACATTACATCAAAACCATAAATTACTATTATACAGAATGTATTCTTGAACTGGAAGAGATATAAACAATTAGGAATAATATGCATGTGTAACATCTGTATAGATAAGTCGTATTTGACACTGGTGGTTAGTCTGAATACACTTCTGTGCCCAAACGTTTTCATGCTTATACATGACATGATTTTTGTTGCTGGATTCTGGCTTGACACCAAACACTGCAGCTCCTGTTGAGCGTGTAAAATCACTAATTAATGGGGTAAAAGAATGAGAACTACATTTTGCAGTGGGTGTTAACCTTGACATAAGTAGCCCCTTGGTAAACTTGTTTGAGACCTGTCCTCACATTGAGCTACACAATTAGATTCAACTGTGAATCTGAGTGCTGCTGTATTGAGTGTTTTGAATTGATAATGGAGGGATATATAGCACATGGAGCAAAATCGCAGAAATGCCTTTTGCCAAAAGTGCTGAGCAGTGCATCTGACAAAGCCAACAGCAACTGAACAGCTTTGCACTAAACCAGCTACCTCATATTTCGCTTCTATTCCTGCAGCATAGTGTGTGTCTATGTGTGTGTGCAGACCGTACACTGCAGACACAGGCCTCTTTTTAGAGATGAGAGGAAGGAAGCAGACACAGGATGAGAGCTGCACCCTTTCCCTCTCCATGCAGTCTCTACTTTCCTTTTCTTTAGCGCCTTAACTCTACTGTATCTCTCCTGTCTTTTGTGTGAAGAGCTCATCTGTGATTGGGAATTTTATCTTCTTTGTTGATTATTAGCTCTTTCCAGATCTGTTAAACACTGTGTTTTTTCCCCCCTCTCATGGGACCCTGACGCTATTGTTTTCAACTCCACTACTCGGAGAAGGACAAAGTATGTGCCTCATCTGTTCTATACTTAAAAAAAGCGAGATAAATGTAGAAAACTGAACTTAAAACTTACTTTTAAACATAAAAACAACACTTGCTCTTCACCTCAAACACATGAACGAATTTCACCATGCATAATACTCACATGCGCACAGAAGCTAACAGAGTTTAATTAGGAAAGCAATAAAATTCAGATATGTGATACAAGGTACCTGTGCATACCTGCTCAGCTGTGTTTTGATCTTTCTTTTTACAACCACACACACAGCTGCCCTAACCACTAAAACATCAGTATTCATGTCAAGCCTGATTTCTCATGCAGAGTTTATTAGTAACATTTTCACACAGTGCAATATATTGCTTTGATTAGGGCAACACTGGGTTTGTTTTGCTTATCTTGCTGATATCTGTGGGTTGTAAGGGCTGTTGCATGGGTTTTAAGTGCTTTACTAATGCACTGAGAGATGACAGATAGATGAACTGGGAGCTATTAGCAGTTTGCTTTCATGTGCTTTTGAACAATTACTTTTTATGTGTTTTTTCAATTAGAAATTTTTCTGTTTGAGAAGTTTTATAAATGCTTACAGGGTGGAGATGTATGATTATGTGCACTGATAACTATATCCAGTTTCATAGGAACATGAACTAGTTAGTCCAGAATTGTTCCACGTGTCAGCGAACAATAATTTACATGCCATTTTTAATGCCTCATAGTGTGCGACACAAGGCAACACACACACGCACACACACACACAAACACACACACACACACACACACACACACACACACACACACACACACACACACACACACACACACACAGGGATCTGACCTGCACCATGCTGCCTTATTAATCAACACTCTGATTGTTGTTAACAGAACCAGGTATGAAAGGTGACAAGATGGGCTAAATGAAGCGTACAGGTGATTTCTGGGTGACTGAACCTTTCAGCTGTTATTTCCTTAGAAAGGAGCTCCTGAACTGTCACACACTGACATGGTGACTGGGCCTGGCAGGCACACACACGTGGTGCACGGCTACACTCCTAAATATTACATTTATTATTAAAGTTACAGAGAATGAAAGTAAATAGCTGCAGGATAAAAACACTTTGGGAAACTGTAGCTGACCTGAGACGACTACACTTCAGGATACTAGGGTGTTACTGACTCTCCATTCATAGAGGGAAGAAATGAAATGACACTTTATATGTTCATGTTTGCACTGACATTTTTCTCCACACGTGTACTCTTTGACCTGTTTATTTAAGTGAAGCCTAGTTCATTTGCCAGTGCACAACATTTCAGAGCAGATCACAAACAAGTCATCATAACTGGACAATTTTAGGGAGTGAGAACAGTATTAACTTATTTTCTTCATAACTTATGAAGTGAACTATGATCATTTATGAACAGAAAAAATTTCAGAAAATTATGATTTCATTGTCCCTCTTTCATTTGGAAAGAGATACCATGGTGGCTTATGTTGAAGGCTCTTTGCCTCTGAACTTGGAGGTGCTCTTTGAGAGCCCACCTCTGGCTATCTAGGATTATTTCTACTGGAAACAAAGACGTCCTTCTGAGTGTAATATTATTTGTCTAATGTAAAATGACAAATACTGTGTCTCTGTTTTCTGGTTGATTGTCTCCAGAGCTCTAGGAGGTTGCTGAGATGGAGGTCTGCCTACATTAGATTAAGCTCAGCATGATGATCTGGTTTGGAATAATGATCTGGTTTTGGTCTGTTTACACTTGTAGTTTGATGATGCTTCCATAATCTCCACAAGACCACAAACAACTAACCACCAACTAAACCAGCAAGATTTTCACTCACTCGAGGACAGATAGAAATTAAGAGTTAAGGTACAATTGTGACATAATGAATAATGAAGGATTAGGCATCCTGAGAAAAGCCTTAAATTTACTTGAAATAGTCCCGTATTGTGCTAACAGACAACATGGGACCACCACAGATAGTTTTCACAATATTCAATATAAGTTTGACAACGTTAAACTTTGTCCATTAAGGCTAATTTTACTTATGAAAAAATAAAGATATGATCTTATCCAATCTGTCAACTCGGTTCTAATTAGAACCAAATGTTTATAAAGTCAAACATTGTGAGATGGAAACAACATAAACTGAGAGGGCTTTCATCACCATCCTGGGTCCTCACAGCTGTTGTTTTCTCCTAGTTAAAATCAAAGGTTAATATAAATGTGTAGAAACCTTTAATTTACTTCTGTGTTGTGACTGTGTTTTGGTGAAAAAATAAAAGGACCACCTTTCAGCCTTGAACATTACCAGCTTCCAGTTAGTTTTACATTTCCTTGAATGTTTCCTTATCATGATGGCAGTGTCCTACATGTCAAAGCTACACAGAGACTTGAGGGTTTCATGTGTGTTTCCTTTCAGTTTTCCACAAAAAGATAATGTGTCAAGTTTGTGACCCAACAATGAGGTTTGCCTGTTGTGCTGCGCATGAAGGATGTGATGGGAGTGGTGGTAGGAAGTTTCTTCTAAACTAAGTGTGCTAAGTTCACATGAGCTCTCATGCTCACACTTAGACCAGCGTCAGACTCTTCATATCAGCTACTTTTTACCAAGTGTGTTTAATCACATGGTGCTGCCTCAGTTTGCTTGAGCTCTCTGTTGCTACCAAGTAACCGTGTAACCAGGTAATGGACGCGCTGAAAGCCTGCCAGCTCTGTTATCTTACATCAGAAGGCAATCACATTGGCTCAGCTGATTACTTGCAATAATATGACAGAATGAAAAAGTAATACACACTTCATTAGGCACCTATTAAGAGAGTGGTACTCCTCAGGTAGGAGAAAAGCACTCACAACTACCCACCCTCACTACCCAAATAAAAGAAATGGCTCAGTGTCATTAAGGTTTTGCTCCTCTCCTCAATGTTGTGGTGTGGGAGGGGTTAAACATTAACAGGAGAGGTCAGAGGTCAGGGGCCTTTGCTGCCTCGGCATGCCGAGCAGATGCATTTCTTATAGTAAATTTGTAGAGACTTTTTTCCACAGCAGTAGACATATTCATTTGTCATAGAAGGAAAAAACACAGGTGTTACTAATAACATTAACGATGGCTCCGTTCCATGACAGTGTGAGTGTGAGCCGGCATGCACATTACCAGGACCATGAAACTGAAGCAGCTGAACTGAGTTCAGCCAATCAATTAACTCTATTATTTACACCTGTGCTTTTCCTAGTGTGACATGTGAAAATGTCTTCAAACAAAAAGGACTATTGCTAGATATTCAGCAAGTCACTATCTAAAAGGTATTTATTGCTAAAAAACAATAACCAAACTTGATATTCATCCAGACGCAGCAGACAGCCCAGAACACTGGCTCCAACACATATTCCAGGTTAAGTGGACATTGTCATGCAACAAAAACTTCTAAGACACAAAACAATCACAAAATGATTGTAAAAAGAACGCATAAAGTTTGGTCATGCTATATTTTGACTGCATGTTTCTGTTATGGGATCTGGCTGTACATCCACCTTATCAATCACTGTGAAACAAATGTTTCAACACCTTGAGTCCTGCATATTTTGGCTCTATACCTCTCACATAGCAACATCAATAAGAAATTACTCTGCCTCCTATTAATCTACTAGCTGAAACAGTCAGAGATTAGTTGATCAACAGAAAACAATCAGTAATTACTTTAAATTACTTAATCTTATTGATGTTTTATAAACTACACAATGAATTGATTATCAATTTGCCTTCTAGTAATGTTCTTTTCTATTTTATTTAGTACTATTACATTGTGTCTTTATTTGCTTTATCTTTCATTGTGGAGCACTTTGTGACATTTGATCTATAGGTGCTATATAAATAAACTTTACTTACTTAATGGAAGAAATTGTGAGTTACATCCCTATTATCTACAAATAATTGTATGTTTGTTTAAAGTTTTTAAGATACACTTTGCTCTGCTAAATATTTTTGTTGCAAAAAACATTCATAATTCACTTTTTTCTAGTGCTGATGTAGTGTGTTGCTGTGTGTAGAGTGTTGCATAAAATATTCATGGGTTCATTAATACTTGAGTGTAGTTATTGTATGTATAAGGTGAGACCAGGTGTCCTGAGTGTTTAAACACTGTTAAAGCACTTACCCAAAGGATATACTGCAGGTAAATTACAAGCTCTCAATTAAATACCAACAATTTTATGTACAAACTCACTAAAAGAGTTAAGCCAAGTTAAGAAATATGGTTTGCCATTATATTATATTATATCAAGTTCACTTTGTATGTGAATTGTACACAAAGTAGTGTGGTATAATTATAGTTGGATTAACAGTCACTGTCTGGATATATTCCAAGTGTGCTGCAGAGCCAGATGTTTCATGGCCACAGCTGTTAGCCTGGTCTGAAAACAAGCTTCATTTGGTCTGTAACCTGACCATATCGGCTGTGTTTTGGGCAAAACTCCAACTGGAACACAATTTAACACAGCATTAATTGCTGTGATGACGAAAACCTGACAAAGGTAATAAACATGTTCAAGTTACAGCTACTACATCCCAACCTGCTCAGGTAAGAGATCTATGACGTAGTCTGACCCCTCCTGACTATTACCTGGGGCGCCCGAAATGACTCAAGAAACAAAGAATGCAGGGCTTTCTGGTACTCCCTATTATAAAATAACTTAACATACGTACTATCTTCAGTATAGGAAAGGAGTGGGACGCTTTATACAAAAAAGAATTCACCGACACAAACGCCAGGTGAAGGTGGGACAAAGTTCCGCTCGGGCTGTTTTCTGTGTTGGACTTCAATACCCCACAAGTTCATTTCAAGCTTACTACTGAAGAGAAGCAGAAAATGGCCTCAATACCGTAAAAATAACCATTTGGTTTGTTTCGTGCTAAAATAAGACAGTATGAGAGATTATCCAAAGCGTTTACTGAGTTGTGAAAGTCATTAAGAAATAAATGTGTGGCGAAAAATAAGACACCTACCGAGCGGTTCGACCGTCGCTTTTTAGACCCACGCAGGAACATGATGTCGTTTGGACGTTAAAAACACAGTTTCCAGGTGAAGAAACGGAGGGAAGGAAAACAGAATTCAGGATATTTAAAGTAACACAGACTGAGTTAAACTACATGATGTTCCCTTCACACTGTCCCGCACTCCTCATTCCGCCTTAGCTAACTACTTTGGCAACTTAACCGACAAGCTACTTTAACTGAAAAATGTGACTTCCGGCTAAGCTTTCAAATTAAAACACTTATTAATCCCTATGTATGACATTTCTTCAGCATTGGCAAAACTAAAACCAAATTAAGAAATAAATGTTAAGTAAATCCACATAACACCACTCTATTAGACAACATATTCACAAACAAACTCTTTTGAGTCAAACTGAAACAGTTTCCACTTTTATCTTGAAGGTGCGGTCGCTTAACAGCCATCCTGGCAGGACCTGTGTAACTTGACGAAGCTTCAACTTTACCTCCTGTCCCAGACTTGAACACAAGCAGCAAACTGACCCAAAGTTATGGATTTTACTTCACCTTGGCTACAAGGAAGTTGACCGCCTACACACAAAACCCTCTCAATTGACTGCTTTAAAAATCTGACCTACACATTTTGATTCATACCAAAATTAGTCTTTATTTATCCATATGCAGAGTCTGGTTCATCGTGGAAACATTGAGCATGGGAGGGGTCGGCGACTGTAGTTTTTTTTAAACTTATGAATAAATAGATAATAAATAAATGAATAAGTAAACAGTTTGACAAGGGAATAAGAACAAACCAATACAAATTTGTTTGGGAGAGAGTTATTACTGAACCCGGTCTGCTTCAGCAGCAGCAACATGGGGAATTAGTTTGATGACAGTCAGTATGACCCCAAACAAAGGATTATGGTTCCACTGTAGGTCTTTAAAATGGGTAATACAGTGGTTATTGCAAATGAAAGGCAGCAGCGCCATGGCGGAAAACAAAGTAGGAGAGGATTTTTTTTAAAACGCAATGTAATCTCAAATTGAATAGAGGGGAACAGCGTGTATAACTGCGAGAGAATTTTTTCAGATGAGATTAGAGAGCAGAGATGCATGCAGCACAAGGTCAGTGAAGATCCTGGCAGGGATTGTGTGAAAACGTAGTAATTCCTGATCAAATCTGAACACCAACAGCCTGATGAGAGACTGAAGCCAACGCCCTAATAACAATGTTGATATTTTTCACTGTTAATTCCCCCAGTAACTGATGAGGCAGGGGCTTTTAACAAGCAAGTCATTTCATTTAATGAATGGCAGTCTGCCTCCATCTAGTGGCAATCTGATAGAAGACAAGTTAGGCCAAACATCCAGAAACATGCAAGCAAAGGAAGTTGTTGCTGTAAAGCTGTTGTTTAACACTAGGATTGTGCAGTGTGGGAGATTAGTGTACAATTTAAGCCACAAAACAGATTTTCTTTGCAGTAACAATGGCTTTTATTTCCCAAAGCATGGCTGCTTTGAATATTGAAATTACAAACTTGTAAAGCCTGTTAGAAAAAAATAAAATAAAATAAGGCAATGTTTTAGTTGGACAAATAACCACCAGGAACAGTTACACAACATATTAAAACTGTGATATTCATATAATAAAATTTCAAATGTGATTTTTCTTTAGAAATTATTTTTTTTCTTGATCTGCCATATGCATTCAAAAAATATTATAATAAAACTGGACTTTACTACTGGACTGTAAAAAGTGACAGCAGAGAAACATTCTGCACCTTAACAATGTGTTACAAATGTACAAAAAAAAAACAACCTGAGCAAGAATCAAAGTAGACAGGTAAAAGTGGAGGATGACACTAACTCAAATAATGAACATGTGGTTGATGGTTAATGGATGTCTACAGTTCCTAATGATCCTGATCAATGAAAGAAGGCTCCTTGAAATGTTTAGGATTCAGGAATAAAAGATGAATAGGATGAAGGAACTGGTTACTGTGAATGAGACTTAAAGGAACTGTGTCACACAGGAAGCACTCTAAAGCTCAATGATTAAATAACAGAGAGGGAAATCTTTAAGCCGCTGAGAAACCTCAGTGAAAATACAGAAATTAAACTCAGGAAGAGCACAATTATGATGTTAAACAATTCCTAAAGCACCCATTCATGTGTCAGTTACTTCTTCGGTCCAAATTACAGTTACTACTTAATACAGCAGTGCATTAACAGTCGATGTGTATTAGACAAGCTACTTTACAACATCAACCAAAGTTTTATATTACTGGTTATTTACAGATTTCCCTTTGTAATGAGTGGTACATCGAGGGTGGACTAAACGTTTCTGAGGGGGTGTTTCATTGTGTATAGTATGGCACGCAGGCACAGATGTACAGTACCACTCACTTTGGCTATGTCACCCTCCTCTCAGGTGCGGCTCTAAAACAAATCTCTTCACACCATACAGTGGCATTGATTAAACTGTGACCTGTTCATTTTACTGTCCATCGTCCTCTCTGCTCCACCCTTCTGTTAACTTCTGCACAAATGTCCTTTTTTGTTCTTCTGCTGCATTCTTGACAGAGGTACGTGTGTCTTGGAGTGTTTAAACTCTGTCATCTGCAAAAAAAAAAAAAAAAAAAGATTTTTTTTTTTTAAATCAGACTTTTGAGAAAGAAAGTTGTTCTACATAGGAAATAAAGCAGATTACTGTCATCAGCAGCATATTTTGAGAGTATCACGAAAGTGAATGCGTGTCGCTCTCACCGGTGGAAGCTGCTGTGTGCTGCCTGGTGCTCTTGATTTGCAGGAAGATGATGTAGGTATCATAGGCAAACAACAGACCAGCGATCAAACCAAATACCTAAGAAACAACAACTCAGGATCAGAATCACAATGATAGTCCCATTCACTGGTCACATAAAACACCACTTTTGTGATTAATGCAAACATTCAAATGGCAATATGTGAAAATCCTGTAACACAGTTAAATACCACAATAAATCTCTCATACGTTACACAGTTAAGCAAAGTGAAGACTACAAGACTTTCAAAATGTCAGAACTTCTGTCCCATTCACACCTCTGTCATCTGAGAGTGCACAAACTACAAAACTGTCTCAGATGTGGTGTACCGATTACTATGACATCACACTTTGAGAAATCCCCAACTGGAGAAATGACTGTGATATTAAAAAAAAAAAAAAAAGGAATGTGAGAAATTACTATGGGGCAAAGTTGCATCAGTTGTTCATGTGTAGACATGATGCGCTCAGTCTCAAGTACATGTGGAGTATGCATAAACAAAAGAACAGGCATAAAATTAGCTCATTTACACAAGCCACAAGGAATGTTGTGGTGGGAAAAGAGACGTGAAATTTACCTTTAATCACCACAACTCTCTCTGACATCCCACACCACACAATTAAAACTGAATAAACTAATTGTAATAAATACGACAAAAAATAGAAAGAATAAGAACAATACTATTGAATATCATGAATTAACCATTCAATAAACAACAAAATATGGATGGATGCTTGTATGATTCAAGCCACTGTGTTCTTCATTTTTTCCAGCCTGTTTTTGGCTACGATAAAATCAAACACATTTGAAAACTGTCATAGCGTCTGGGACAGCTCCTGCTTGAACTAGAGGACGTGTGGTGATTTATTGTGGTTATTTATTATGAATTATTGTCTCAGTTGGGAAGAAATCTATCTGCAACAGGCAAACTGTTAACACTTGACTTAAACAGGAAGGAAGCGTGAGATAGAGTTACGTTGATATGCTTCTTATGAACCATGGTTGTCAAAACAAACAATGAAACTTGCATGATTATAAAGTTTCAGAATTCAGTTAAAAACTCAGGCTGAGTCACAAAGGCTTAACTGACCCCGCCTGCGATACGAGCGCCATCCTGGGATCCTCCGATGATACAAATCAGAGAAGTGATGATGTAAAGTACAGCACCAATACCAGCACGGAAAAGATCCTGCACAAAAGAAGGAAGCGGACGATGAAGCATTGTGCAACTAGTGTACATGTGTTTGTGCATGTCAGTTGCAAGAAACATGAATACTCACACTCCAGACCCAGTTGACCACTTGGATCTGCTTGTCCAACTCCATCATGAAGATCCCGAAGAAGACAATAGCGAAGATCATCTCACAGATGGCCACAGCGGAGTAGCCTCCATACGTAGATGCAGCATAGCAGATGAGGACGATTAAACTGAGAACCTAAGGGTGATAAGAGGGAAAGCGGGAGGTGGGAAAAACAATAAAGAGAGAATGTTGATTTTGATGTCAGAATGATGAAAATATCCCAGAAAGCTTCAGAAAACTAACAGATTCTGCCTAAATTCCTCCTGTGTGTTAGACATTGACACTTCAATGACACTTCAATGACTTGATTAAAACAGTTTGCAAATCAGCTGCAATTAACCTGACAGAGGACTGGTCATCTCAATGCCCAGTAACAGTAAAAGATCTGTGTCCACTAAATAGCCGAGGCCAGTCAGACAGTAAATCACTCCGACAAAGCCAGCATTGTTTCATTTACTCCAGCCAGTTCACAATTCAACAACCACATAATGTTAACCATTTTTGCCAAGAAAAAATATTTTCTACGCAAATAAACAAAGTGAGACAACTGTACGGATCATATTGCACTCCGCCAATCGCACGCTGCTTTCTTGTTAGATTTACAGTGAGCGTTTGCTCCATCTAGGTCGTATCGTTCCATATGAGGGTAAAAAAAAAAGCAGTGAGCATTTTTCTCAGTAAATTCCACTGAAATTCTGCCAATGTGGAAAAATCATAAACTTATGCAGCCTACGGCTCAGAGGCTTGTTGTTGTCAAACTGTGTGGGTAGATGCTCTCACACAACAGTGACATACCCTCACTGGACACTTCATTAGGAGCACCACACTAATACTGGGTAGGGCCTCCATTTTGCTCTCAAAATAGCCTCAGTTCTTTGTGGCATGGATTCCACAAGATGTGGGAAACTTTCTTTTGAGAGTCTTCTGCAGATTTGGCAGCTGTGAATCTCCTGCTCTACCACATCCCAAAGGTGCTCTACTGGATTCAGATCTCATGACTTGGGAGGCCACTGAAGTACACCGTGGCATGGTGCACTGTCATGCTGGAAGTAGCCATTAGAAAATGGAAAATCTTGGCCATAAAGTGAAGCACATGGCAAGCAGCAAAACTCATATAGATGGTGGCATTTAACCATGATTGAACGGTATTAAGGGGCCCAAAATGTGCCAAGAAAACATTCCCCACACCATTACACCACCACAAGGCTGGACTGTTGACACAAGGCAGGTTGGGTCCATGGATTCATGCTGTTGACACCAAATTCTGTTCCTACCATCTGCTGCCTCAGCAGTTATCCAGACTCATCAGACCAAACCACACTTTTCCAGTCTTCAACTGTCCAGTTTTGATGATCCTGTGTCCACTGTAGCCTCAGATTTCTGTTCTAGGCTGACAGGAGTGGAGCCAGACGTGGTCTTCTGCTGTTGTAGCTCATCTACCTCAAGGTTCTACATGTTGTGCATTGGGAGAAGCTTTTCTGCTCACCACAGTTGTAAACAGTGGTCAACTAAGTTGCAATAACCTTTCTGTCAGCTGCAACCAGTCTTGCCACTCTCCTCATCTGGCACCAGCAATCATGTCAGTAAAGCTCCTAACTTGTATCTGCATGACTTTATGCATTGCACTGCTGCCATCTGATTGGCTGATTGCATAAATGCATGGATAAGCAGGTGCACAGGTGTTCTAATACAGTGAGTGTATGCCAGCTGCGAAAGAGTAGAAACTTAGTCCTAAAGCCTTTTTAAGTCTAACAATATCATGTACTATAAGACACTAAAGAGCATTTACTTTGTCATTTTAAAACAATTTCTACACCACAGACAAATATTCAATTGACTACAATGTAAAACGAGGAAAATCCACAAAGTCTCACATTTGAGAAGCTGGAACCATTAAATGTCTCACATTTTTGTTCGAAAAGTGACGTTAATGATTATTGTAATTGCTGATTAATTTTGTTGATCAACTGCCTGACTAACTGATTAATCAACTAATTGTTGCAGCTCTAATACAGCATATTAATAGTTACATTACATATATTTCTCATTTGTATCTTTGACCTTTTATTATTTTTTTTATTCTGCATTTCTTTTTCTTATTCAAATTATTCTTTTTTGCACAATATCCTTTTTGGCAAAGAGTATGTCACCCTGAATTTCACTGCACATATTATATCAGCTTGTGACCTTTTGTAAAATATGTAATTATATCATCTGTAATTACATATAACCCATTTATCTGCATTGCTTTCTTGTGATATAGTTTATTCTTGTAACGCTTACTAAATAAAACAGCTCTGATTCTGATGTGCGTTTAAAAAAAGCACACTTTGCACATTGCAGTGTTTTATTCTCAGACACACACAACTCAGTGGCAAGTGTCAAATCACTGCAGTCTATATGATACACACATGATCTAACTGACTCGACACCAGCCCTGCATCTGTCAATGCTGCCTCCCCTCCCCTCACCCGCAACTGTTACACAAACGCACAGCGAGCTAGATGCATCAGTAGTTCATGTGTTCTCGAGACTGGCACAAACTGCCTCTGTAGAGTAGCGGGGTGGCCGAGCCCAAGGTCCTACACAAAGAAGGCTCTATTTAGGCCGGAGCAGGCTGCTCTGAGGGCAGCAGCCGTCACACAGAGAAACACCCACTACACGAGTCCCTGAGAACAAGAAAGGCTCTGAGATGTCGACACCTTTATGTTTTCCACACAGCGGCGGATCTGTTTGCATGGCTCAGCTTTAAAAGATCCCAACTAGGATCTATTCACATCAGTATAATGAGCTGCTCTTTTAACCTGACCGGAGAGAAATTGTTGTGAACTGTTGGCTAATTATAGTCAGCAGCAACATGAGAGCCAAGAGGTAGTCCGTTGTGCAGAGGCAAACCAAACAGCAACAGTTGCTAAGGAAGTCACTTACATTTTGAGGCGGTTTTTTGCGCTTGCTGTGGCTCACTAAAGTGTGTATCATGTGTGTTCACGGGAAAACGGAAAGTTTGGTTCCATTTCATCACTCCTCTTGCTCAATGTCTACTCATTTCACTCTTTCCCTCTATTTCCCTCAACTTATTTCTCTTTGGCCCTTTCTTCTGATTAAGAATTTTCTAAAAGGTGAAAACCAAACAGGAAATGGTTTCCAGTCCTGAGACAGTGTGATCTCTTCATATTCATAAAACTAACAGTAAGGTGGAAGATTAACTCAGTGCATGACTCATCCCCCACTTATCACTACTGGCTTAGCGGTGCTCCATGACAAACAGAAAATTGCACTACATGGGTGTGACTGTGACCTGTATGCTGTTCTCCAGCTTCAAATGTTCAAGTACGGTCATGCCTCTGACAGGGAGAGTAAAAGAACGGAGAATAACTTTAGATGTAACCTGGCGAGGCACGGAAAAACCTTGCTGTCAAAACTTGCTGAGAGTGCATGAAGTCAAAAATTACATTTTTCCATTAGGCATTTGGTTCACTAGCTGGAAGATTTAAACATCAGTATTCCTGGTTTCCTGGGGGTTAAATATCCTATTTCCTGCTATATTGGACATAATGAGCAGTAATGACATTTGACTTCCTGTTTCGCTCCCACAGCCCTCTCCCTGCACTGTAAACTATTTCAGACATCCAACATCACAGATGACTTCCTTTAGAGTGGAGTCCTGAGTGGGAGAGGAAACAACAAACTATCGAGTGTGTCCAGTGAAGCACGAAGATATCCTTGAATGGCACACCAGAGATGTGTGCTAAGCAATTCACACATTCTTTGCTCCCGGGGCCAAACTTCACACAAGGCCTGGAATTTCCATTACATCCAAAAAAAAAAAAAAAACTTGGGTGGACCACTGACCACGAACATCTGAGAGCCTGCTTTATAATGAGCTCGCTGAGTTATGAGGGCAGAGCTTTTCATCACTGATACAAAGTGCTTTCCTCAGTTTTGGAAACTTGGTGAGTAATAATGCTGTTGAACAGTAACATTTTCAGTGCTTTGTAGGATACTGTGAGATATGTGATAATACGCCACTGCATGTGCACGCTGAGAACCTGAAGAAGTATTCAAATCATTTACTTAGGTTAAAGAAGCAATATAGGAAACTATAAAATGACTCAATTACAACTAAAAGTACTGCATTATTATTGAGGTGTTGATATGCAAGTGGTACTGAAATGTTGTCGTTGATGAAGGTGGAGCTAATTTTTACTCTTTCATGTACTGTTTTGCGGTTTAATTTGTAACAATGCATCATATTTTAGAACTGGATCATATATTTTGTGTGTAAAAATCTAAAAGCACAACATTTGCCATTGAAATGTTGTGTAGAAAAAGTACAAAGGTGCAGAGTAAAGTACGAGTACCTCCAAGCTGTAGGCTACTTAAGAAAGTTACTTCGGTAAGTGTATGTAAAGAATTTAAGGTCAAAGTGACTCGTGTTAAGAGAGCACACCACTGTGAAATGCAAACAAAGGCAATCATGTGAAAATGCTGGTCAAGGACAGTATAAATAAAGAAGTATTCCCAGAAAGAATGTGGTAATACTTTCCCGCAAACCTATTTATCAACAGGACTAAGGCGTTGCTTTGGTGTTTCTACTCCTCTTGTGTGCAAGATGTGCAATGATGTTATGTTGGGGGGTGGGGGGGTGTGTCACTTTATGAGCTTTTATACTAATAGGAATGTAATATCCATTGCAGTTGCATTTTCTCCTCCCCATATTTGGGCTACTACCTCTCTGCCTACAAATAGTATACAGCCTGTGGTAATGAGGAGAACAGCGAGATGCCTGACAACAGTCACTGGGCTGAGTTAACCCATATAACCTTTCATCTGCCGTTAGCACTCAGCATTTGGCTCTTTGGTGCCAAAATGAGGAAACAGTGGAGCACATGTGACAGGTGGGATTCCTTAACCTCTGTTCATGATCCCTCAACCCCCACGCCACATGCTTTTCATTCCCTACTAACCAAACTGCCTTTGAAAATTAGACACTTTTGAAGAAGAAAGCATTTGTGACAGAAATTAAATCAATAACAACCACCGAGGCTACATTAACCCACTTTATAAAATACTGATTAGCTGCAGGCTAGTTAAGCAAACGTTACACACACCAATTATAACCATTCATTTAAAAAACAAAAAAAGCTGCACAGTAGCTCAAAGTTACGTTAGCTGCTCAGGTCAGTGAACTTACTATTTCTGCTGCGAGGATAAACCCTTTCTGGGTCCTCAAGTAACTTTTCAGCTTCTCCAGGCAGTTGGCACCAGAACTGGACGCGTTTGTATCAGCCATTCTTTAATAACTAACTTATTATACCAGCTGTGTGTCGTTTAAGAGCCTTATCGCCAACCGACGAACAGCTTCTGGTATAAAAACTTTCGTTTCGAAAGCAAAAGTCCCAGTTGTTGTTGACCGCTGCTGCTCCCGCTAAAGCTAGCTGAACGTTGTTGTTTTTTTTTCTCCCCAGTCCGATGAATCAACTTCTCCAATGAAAAGTCCGGGTGTAAAGCCCTGGTTGATCTTAGTCACTGCCACAGCAGCTCTGTGGAAACTCTGCTTTCTCTCTGAGGAGGGAGGGCGGAGCTCAGGAACTGACAGAGGGGCGTTGGCTCCCATTGGTCTCAGGAGGAGCCGCTGCTGTTCCGGGCACCATCGAGCTGAGCTGCCCTCTTGCCTTCAGGGGCTACTCGGAAACTCCACAACTCTTAAGATCTGTGGCAAAAAGTGACGTTTTGTGGATGTTCTGAGTACTTGTTGCCCCACTGGTGTTACAGTGGCGGGGCAAGTTTTCATAGTTCTCATTGAGGTGGCACAACAAGAGTTTCTTCTCTACACTGAGGTTAGATTATGATGAGTGTCTGTGGCCAAACTGTGTGTATGTAGAATAAACCCCTGATGGTTTGTGGATGTGCAGGAAATAAGGGAGGAACAGCACCATTTTATTTTTTATCTATTAGCATTATTTTGTATCAATAATAATAATAATAATAATAATAATAATAATAATAATAATTTGTTAAAGGCACATCTGGTCCATGGATCAAGCAATTCACAAACAGAAACACAGCAAGATAAAATAAACAATATTTTATATGAAATGTGGAAGTATTATTAAGACAGTAGTATTTTTAGATTGTTATATTGGTAAGAAAAAATAAGTAAATGATCTCAGCATTTCTTCCCCCACTAGTATAAAGTACTAGCAGAAAATGTACTTAAAGTATCACAAGAAAAATCAGTCATTATGCAGTGTTATATCATTTTATAAATTATATTATTCAAATATTATTGTTGATACATTAATGTGTAAGTGACATTTTAATGTTGTAGCTGGTCAAAGAAAAACCCTTTTTAACTGATTTTTATACTGATAGGTAGTTTATTCTATAACAACATATATTTTATACGCTGATTATGATTTTGTATATAGAATCAGTAAAGTAAAAACTACAGACCAAATAAATGTAGTGTAATGTGCGTACACTATATGCCTCTAATTTATATGCAAAGTGAAGTAAATGTACAGTTATATTATTTTCAACTGTGTGGATTTACAGTCTGTCTGAGACAGCTACTGATGTAAGTGAAGTGAAGTGGGTTGTAAATTTGAATAGACAGTGAGACGTCTTTACGAGAAACTTATTTTGGAAAGGCAACCGTATCTGCTTTGGCAACAACAGCAACAAACTGATAAGACCGGCACACTGATAACATAGGCGTCTACCTCTTTGCATGCACGTATTAACCCAGTATGACATAAAATTATAATATATGATCATCATTAATTGCTATGGGTTTATTATATCCAGTGACGTCTTTGTAGAAACATTAGCCACTGTATAATAGAATATTTTAACTATATTTAACACCTTAATTCAATTACCAATAGGAAGTACCAGAGTCCTCACCAAATTGGGCCAAACCATAGACTGACAAAGTTTAAGGGCTATTTTTAGAGTTTTGATCGAGCTAACTTACATATTGATCCACAGCCTGCCTGAAATGGTGTTTAAAGGGCTGTTGCACTAACAAATATAGGCCAGTCAAGTAAAATACCTGAACACCTTTAGCATGTTAGAACCTTCTAATTATCTGAAGACTATATAGCACATTTTATTGTAAAAAAACAAAAAACAAAACAACAATTGGTGTTTACTTTTACGATAATCTTTTTTACAGCATATTAATGAAACTGATTAACATTTCAAAATACACTTTTAGTGAACTCAACTCAACCAAGAAAAAAAAAATGGACAATCAACTCCTATGAACAGAAGTGCACATTTTAACCTTCAACAGAATAATTTCAAGTTTATTTCATTTTGTTTCACATGGATCCCATATAATAAGAATACAGCAGAATTCTGGAGAGTCTTGGATATTTTTTTTCTCTGACTTATCATTATCATAAATACTAATATGTATACATCATACACAATAAACACAGCACTATCCAAAGGCGTAGAGAGTATCACAAGACATCATTCACCACTAACAACAGAGTATATTTCATTTCAGCATATTTATAAGAGCTACAATGAAAGAGGAAGAGAAAAAAACAGAGGTGGGGCGGACTAGAGGAAGAGAGAAAGTCAGGTGCTTCTACACTGCCTGACTCAAAGAACCCTGATTTAAAAAAAAAACATACAAGTGAACCAAGGTTGTGCAATGGATTGATATACTGGAGATGGACGATACTCATTCTGATGAAGACTGTGGAAGCAAAAACTACCAATCAAGACACATCTCTTACCATTTGGCAAACACGATCTTGTATATCCAAACGGAGGACCGGCGGTAGGAAGGGTGTATTTATATCTGGAAAGAAGTAATTATTGCAGCACTTGTGTGCTTTGAGTGGAATATAGCAGAGCTGCTGTATGTGCTGTGCAGTATCTACTGAGATGGATCAAACATACCACAGTATCACTGTTTAGTCTAATGCTTTCCTGCAGCTTTGAGCCTCGGCCTCTCAAACATGTTTAGGGATGCTTTAGGATATAAGGTGTAAGATGCGTGCAGTGAATTGGCTTGCCTTCAGAAAGAGAAGAGATAAAGAAGGATTGAGGATGGAGAAGTATTTATGGAGACATACTGTTCAGACCGCCTCGTGATAACGTATGTTTACCATGGCATAGCCAAGGTCTTTAAAGTGTAAATATACTTTATTCTCATTTTACCTATGGTTCATGTTAATGTGAGTTATGTAAGTCACTGATTACAGTGTGATAGAAACGCCAGTTAAAAAACTATATGACTCTGTCTTACAACTTTCTGGACCACAGTAAAAGGCGATCAAAAAAAACATGAAGAGGTTCACTGACAAAATCTGTTGGATGCCTTTACATAAATCTGAACAAATAAACAAACACACGCCGCTAAAACTGTTGTTCTCTGCCCCGACTCACGATATTCATACTGACAGCACACTATAGAGCACAGCAAATATGGGATGCAACCATGCTCACTAATTTTCTTAACCTTATATGCTAGTTTTGATTTTGTATGTCAGGATTCAAAATTTTCTGTGTATCACAAGAGTTCACCCTCTCTCGACATTGATATTTGATGGAAAAATACATATAAAAACATAAATAAAGTTGAAACAACCTACTTATAACCTTCTGGTATCATATATTCACTGCTACTACTATATATTACTCTTTTTCTGCTCACTTATATATCAATAATTCTCTTCTGTTTTCCCTTCAACATTTGCAATCACATGAGAAAAAAAAAGAAAAAAAGATTTTCACAGATTCTGAGATGAATGCATAAAACCATCATTGTGGCATGAATAATCTAAGGGAATTTAAGGGCAAAGGCTAAACTATGTGAGCTCCTAAACAGAACCAAAGTAATTGCAATTGAATAACTCTGTGCTCAACATTTGTTGTATAACAACTAATATGGAGTGCACAATTATTCAACTGTGTACATATAATCATACGTATATATCAGCATGTTGATATTTACACAGCACAGACAAATACATTCTCTCAAGTTAAATATTACTACAATATTTTTTTTCTTCATAAATGTCTTTTCCATTACAAGATTTCTCTTAAATGTTCGTCAACGAATGTTTTGGTATTTGTATTCAAGTTTTTCTCGTATAACCAAACAGACAATCCTCTGTTGTCTTCTACAGTTAAATACATCACGAGAATAAACATCATGTTACAGCAAAGACCCATTTCCCACTTTTTTTTACCCCCCCCCCCAACCCCCTCCAGATCCTGCTCCCCAGTGGTGCTCCCTTCCCCAGGACCCACCAGTTTCTGCCCTCCATGCCTGCCTCCCTCCGCCTGTCAACTCACAGATACACAAACAGACAAACTGAGGAGTGTGGAAATGCAGGTGGTGGTCAACAGCCACACTCCGAAATCACAAGGTCACCCTGGGAAGAAGGGAAAAAGAGTAGACAGGCAAGAGACAGAGGGGAAGACAATATTAAAGAGACGAGATATCACATAATTACTGTTAAATGATACTATAGCACACGATTCATAATATGAGATATATAAAGCTGATATTAGAAATATAATTTTGAGTAGATAATTGTGTGTATTTGACAAATGTTATATCATCGTAGCAGATGACACTGTTATATACTCATGTATTAGTGAGTTAGAGTTTAGGCAGTTTATACACATAGTTTAGAAGTGTCAAATTGTTGATTTTATAGTTTAATGATAATGTGTTGATAACTTAACTAGATGGTAAATGATTAAAGGGTAAAGATACAGAAGTTCAGAGCTGAGGACATAAAACATGAAGAAGAGGCTCGCCATGAAAAATTAATTCTGAAAAACATCCTTAGTTATAGGATATTCAAACATCCTCAGTGCCTACTGGACTGCACAACATAAGCAAGCCCCACCTGCATTTGTTAAAATGGCGCTAATCTTACTTGGGTGCGTGGAAATACATGAAACAAAACATGTATTTTTTTTTATTTTATTTTTTTTTTTATTTACCCCATTGAGCACCTCGCCACTATCAAACAGTTCGCAGAAGAGACACACGAGATACAGAAATAAGTGAGAACAACCAATGCTATTGTAAAAAAATTAAAAAAAAAAAAAAAAAATGGCTAGATAAAAAAAAAAAAAAACACACACACACAAAAAAAAAAAAATACAAAAAATGGGGAAAAAAACTACATAAAAAAAAATAACCAAAAAAAAAGAAAAAAAAAAAAATAAAAAAAAAAAAAATAAAAAAACAACCACCCAAGAAACAAAAAAAAAAAAAAAAAAGAAAAAAGAGAAAAAAAAAAAACTGAGATCATAGAACTAAAATAAAAAAAAAAAAAAATAAAAAAAAAAAAAAATATAAAAAAAATAAAAAAGAAAAAAAAAAGATAAAAACAAAAAAAAAATAATAAAAACAAAAAAAAATAAAGAAGACCATGGAAAAGAATAAAAAAAGACTAAAAACAAGAATAAAAAAAAAAAAAAAAATAAAAAAAAAAAAAAAAATAAAAAGATAAAAAAAGAAAAAAGATAAAAAAAGAAGATTATAAAAAAAAAAATAAAACAAAAAAAAGATAAGAAAGGAAAAAAAAAAAAAAAGAA